CACACTATAGTACTTCAATTGTACTTTGCTCCTGATTTCCACGTACTTGTAGATGATTGCTACGAAATAAAAATAAAAATAGAATTATGAAAAGTTTTAAACACATTAACTATAGTTGCAGTATTTCTCCACACTTCTTATACAAGAAAGTCAGATTGTTAAAATACCTATGTTGTGTTCCCAACACTTTGTAACCAGGCTAAAAGTGAGACATTTGATTCATTCATATCCAAATCAAAATCAACATCCTTACAGGAAAAAGAAAATTTAAGATGAGTTAATAATATGACAATAATTTAACATAAGTTTTACGTAAAAAGGAATGAAAGAAAACTAACTTGCAAATTAACTTCTGGTAAAGGAGATATTGCTTGATGGGGAGTGTAAGCATTGTCCTCAAACATGTTTTTTATTGATGGTGCAACATCTTTTTGAGATTTCTCTGTGAACAAACAACTAATTTGACTGTTACAAAAAAAAAAAGGTAAAACAAGCAAAGACTTGTATAGTAATACTTACTAATTTTCCCATTAGTCAGTTGAAAAGTTTTTCTTTGTTTGGGTTTCTCCCAATGCCGTAAAATACGCTCTTTACGAACACCTGGTACTTTTACATAAAGAGGCTCTAATACCTTGTTGTCTTCTATGTTTTTCTCACAATTTTTTGCTGAAATATGGGCAGCACTACTGTTCAATTTCTCTAAATAATCATCTAACTCATCTGAAACATTTTCGAGATGTCTTTGAAAAATCTCTCGACACTCCACACTATATTTGCTAAGATGAGTAAGATTATAACAAGTTTGCATCATACTATTGGTGTAAACAATCTCAGATTCTGAACTTCTATTCATAGAACAACTTTGGCTTGGCAAATTTTTTATTCTTTTCCTCGCATCTTTAGTCCATCTTCTCAAAATTTATTCCTTAGGGGATTTCACAAACTTTATTTGACGTATAAATCAACAGACAATGTGCACATAAAATACCCATAGATTCAAACTTCTTGCAAGTGCATGTCACATGTAAAGTTGTGTGATCCAACTCAACAAACCAACTCTTACTTGAATTATGCATTTTCACTTCATATTTGGACACGTGGCCATCACAATATACTTGTGCCTCAATAAAACATGTTCCGGATCCTTTGAGAAACTCTTTCTCAAATATGTTGTAAATCTTATGAGTGTAGACTGCAGAAATCTGAGTTAAAATTGGACTACCTTTAACAACAGGAGTAGGCTTACCCTGTTTACATTTGAAGTCCTCGTGTTCTTCACTCAAACGCCACTTATTTACTACATTTTTTTCATAATTAGTCACAAATATATGCAAATAAGTACTCAAATCGCCAAGCCCATTTAGTACATGATTAGTAGATTCACTTCGAGATGTGGCTTTCAATCCAGCACTAAACACATCATTATTAAAAGCTGTAGACCACATGTGTCATTCTTCTACATTGTGCATTGTAAGCATCATCTCCCATGTTTTATCAAATTCACTTGTTAAAAAGTTTAGAAAAACCTTTATCATTCTTAAGTGAGCCCAAATGAGATGGAGCATTCTGAGATATATGCCATTGACATAATCTATGTCTAGTGCCAGACATCACTTCTCTAATGGCAATTGCCATTGCTTGAGCTTGATCAGTTATAATAGTTTTCGAGAACAACCATTTGAAAGATTCTGCAGACTCATCAGATAAAAAGCCACAACCAAAAATTATATTCTGCCAGTGATGATTTATTCCAATAAATAGTGCACAAGTCATACGATACTTATTTGTTCAATATGTGGTATCAAAAGACACAACATCCCCAAATATCCCCAGTGCATAGTCGCTTCTGCGACACAGGCGTCGCTTCTGCAATCCACACTATCCAGGCCAAGCTCGCACCTGCGGAGCATATTTTCGCTTCTGCGATGATCGCAGGTGCGACTGTCTCGCGCATCTGCACAAAGTTTCTGCTTCTGCAGCTTCTTTGTACGCTGCTGCGATGCCTTCCCCAGCCATGGCCAATTTCGCTTCTTACAAGTCTTCATTCTGTAACCTCTTTACTTTGGTTCATATTTGTTTAGCAATATTAAGGATTACATGGGGGAAAAGAAGAATGTTGTTGTAATTTTTTTTTTTAACGTTGATGCAATTTCTTTTGAGAAGATAAGTAAAGTAAAGTAAGCCATAGTAGTCAAAAAGTTAGCGAAAGCATATATAATACGTACCAAGTATGTTTTATAATTACTAGGCTGCCCAGATTCATGTCCATCGTTTCTGCGACAAGAAGCTTGCTTCTGCGAGGTCGCTTCTGCGATGAAGCTGTCGCAGAAGCGGAAACATCAGCAGCTGCCCAGAAGCAGCAGATTTTCAGCAGCTTCTTCAAGTTCGGAATTGGTTCGTTAACCGTCCAAAATCCACCCGAGACCCTCAGGACTTTAACAAAACATACCAACATGTCCCAAAATACAATACGAACTTAGTCGAGGCTTTAAACCACGTTAAACAACACTAAAATTTTGAATCGCGCTATGAATCGAATTCTGAGTTTTCAAATCTTCCAACTTTTATATTTTGCGCCGAAACATATCGAATCAATCCGGAATGACTTCAAATTTTGCACGTGAGTCATATATGACGTAACGGAGCTGTTCCAATTTTCGGAATCGAAATCCGACCTCGTTATCAAAATTTCAACCTTCGGTCGAATTTTTCCAAAATTTCATATTTTCCAACTTTCGCCAAAATGCGTCGAATCGTCCTACGGACTTCCAAATCCAAATCCGAACATGCCTAAGTCTGAAATCACCATACGAAGCTAGTGGCATCATCAACTCTCCGATCAACTCTTTCTATTTAAGCTTCAAAATGATAATTTTTCTTTAAATTTAATTCCAAATCTTCCGGAAACTAAACTCGACCACACACGCGAGTCATAATGCATATTATGAAGATGCTCGAGATCGTAAGTCATTGAACGGGGTGTTTATTCCTAAAACGACAAGTCGGGTCGTTACATCAATATTGATAAACTTCATGTTTACGCCACGATCAGGGGCGGCTCAATGATATTTGTGGCCTAAAGCCAAACTTCAATGAGGGGCCCTAAATTTTTGTTATAGAAGAAAACTCATAATGTTATTTGAAATGGCGAAAGCAATCGCAACTCCTGCTACACCAAGTTGAAGCGAGGAGACAAGCAAATAATTAAGGGGCCAAAAGGAATGCAATGAGCAAACAACAAAAAAGAAGGAAAATAACATATCTTTGTAAAGTTAAAGACAAAAGCTTAGGACGTTGAGCACCAAAAGCTTAAGAACAAAGAGGTTCCATACCTAAAGCAAGACCAGAGGTACTGAATAACCAGTAATATTAGCAAATGCAAGCTTGAAAACTTCTCTGATTTCTTGGAAGATTTGTGATGGTGTTATTTTTTCATGCATTTGTTTGGGATTTTCTTGGGGTAGTGATAAAAGATCAATAAATAAGTGGGTTAGAGTGGATTTTGTGATGATATTGGTGGTTTTTGATCAATTTTGGTGATATTGGTGAACTTAGGAGTGGTGTTTGGATTGCACATAGCTACAATTCAAAACAAGAGAAAACATAAAAAATTTTGTTAGCAGGTTTTCTTGATTTCTTTTCCTATAGGTTATCTAATTTGTTTTAGTAGTGAGAATTCCTGAAATGATATTGAAATGCATAGAAAAAGCCAAATGAATAAAAGAAGAGAAGAAGTTAAAAAGAGATGAAAAGAATATGGAGCCATTCTTTTTAATAATAATAGTGCATAAATAACACAAGATGGTGGAATTTTCATGCGTGCACGGATCTCAAAAATATATTCTCTTCTCAAACGGCTCCCTTCCCTTAAAATGTGCAGTTTTTGGTCTTTTTAAATATTTATTATTGTTAAAAAATATAGACTAATAATATATTAATGGTTAAAAATTTTGGGGCCCTAAGCAACAACTTTACCTGCTTCACCCTTGCGCCGGTCCTGGTCACGATGTGTGCAATTATCAATAAACTCCAAGTTTATTATGATATGTGGTTTTATATCAATAAACTTCTACTTTATTGTGGCATTCTTTTATTTGTGTAGTACAAACTGGAGAATAAAGTGGGTAACTTTTCACATACATATTACCCCGCTACAAATTGTAGTAATAGAAGATATTAAATATTTCCTTTAATTATAGTCTCAATATAACCAACCACTTTCGTGAATACTTTAGAAACTAAATAAGTTTCTTTGAGACTTACTACGACACAATACCTTATTGATAATCAATTTTATTTCTCCAAAATAGTATAATTGGCTCTTCTAGAAATTTCAATTAATTTTGTACTATCACATATTCATCAACATCTATATGGTGAATATCTCTTTCAAAGAGAAAGTTATATTATTATGGTCATGGTCAAAATCATTATAGGCAAAATATGTCGTGTCCATTACTCTTGCCTTGTAATAATTGCATTGCCATAATATTTTGGCATAATCACAGTAGGTACGTGGTCAATGATCATTCATGCCATAATAATGAAATTATTTTCTTATTTCATCTCAAACCTCTTTCTAGACATTAGTGTGGTATATCCACTGCCACTAGTACGTTCATGTTCTTTCAAGAATGAATATGTGTTCATAATGATTATCACATTATTTTCACATTCACTTCAAGAATGAAACATAATAATCCATATGTGCTTTACGAAATCTCATGTCAAATCGATGACAAACATTAAATTTACAGAGTGAAGGATTATTTTGAGAATTTTTATTGTTCTCATTATCACAATGATGACGATTATAGTTTTGCCTATTGCCACGTCCACATCTATTGGTATCTTTACGATAATAATTTTGTTTTTTTTAATATTTATCTCATACTGCTATCATATTCAACTGTTTTAAGTAAATGATAAGTAGAAAAGTTGTAGGAACTAGAATAAATAGTGCAATAGCAACAAATGCAAGAATATTTACTTCCATAATCTCATCAATTTTTTAATTCGCAATAACTCAGGATTTAATCCAATAGAGATGATAAATCTTTGGCCTGTAAATTAATTGAATGAATATTACCTCTCTTAAAGGAATGAGAATGAAGCAAATTCAATAGGACGAGTTTCCACTTCTTTGCCCACAAGCATACCTTAATTTGATCATGGTAAGGCAAAGACACTACAACATTACACATCTATAGCTATGAAAAGCATCGTAGCTAAATATGAAAATTTTCAT